CGCTATAACTTTTAAGAGTATAGGGAAGACGTGCACCATGATTCAATAAAAATACGTTTCGATAAATGAGGTCACAGTAGTCGTCGATAACCTAAGACAGGAAAACATCTACATGACGAGAAACTCTCAGGGATCCCTGAAGACTGCAGCTGAGCTTCTGACATGAGTTCCCCAAAAGCAAATGCAGAGCATGAGAGTCGTGCCCAGTGAGTGAAAAAATGGGTTAATGGGTTACCAAACACATGATTTTTATGCAGATACTAATAGATTACCAATCAAAATAACAAGAGCAAAAGTGACATGCTGACGTCTCATGGCACAAATCACTCACCTTTGTCATTTGGCCGGGGCTTTCCTTACCCACCAATGACCTTGTGAGATCAAACGAACCCACGGGTGACCTCAGTGCATCCGCTAGCAGCATGGTGCCTGAAGCTTGCAGAGAGTTCCGAAGTGGTGACAAACCCTGTGCTGTTCCTCGTATACGAAACAGCTCCTCCTTCAACTTGCGTATCTGATCCTTCAACACGGCCACATCCCCTGTTGTGTGTTCATTGACAACAGCCTGCATTTCCATTTGTTGATCCAGAATGAAAGCAATATAAGCCAAAATGACAAGCTATGTCTAAAAGCCAAAACATACCAGATGAAAACATTAAACAATCCAACTGTCTTTTGAAAGGAAACTGAGCGATAGCGAAATGACAGAATTCCAGATTGCAAATCACATCGAAAGCCAGATAGTCAAACACTGTCCAGAAAGCGGAATTGCACTGATATTACATTGAAGGAGAACAAAAGCATCGAACCCAATTGTCAATGAGAGCATATACTTGCCACCACCAACATTGCAATCGTAGCTCTTCCTGCTACTGGCGCGCAGCGCCCAGACTACTATCCTACATGTAACATGCCCAGTTGGGCAATGTATGGGAGCAAAGGATCCGCAAAGTGGTGAAAGGGACTCGAATGGACAATGCAGCGTCAGCAAAGCATCAACAAGCAATGTGCATCCAGATACATATGGAAATAGCACAATGTAGTGCAGCGGAAGACTCAGAGATATGACCTGACCTGTCAGATACTGACGCGACACCCCATCATACACCACAAATGTGAGAGAGGGAGGCGAGACCACATACATGGAAGAAAGGTCCCTCCTTGCGCACACACATGGGGGAGATACCACAGATGAGAGATGGGGGAAGGAGGCGAGACGAAGATGGAGGCGAGGGAGAAGACCAAGATCGCGATAGTCCAGAAATAGTCTGCAGCAAAATGTCGAATCAGCGAGTGTCTGCAGCAAAATGTCGAATCAGCGAGTGTCTGCAGCAAAACGACAAATCAGCGAGTGTCTGCAGCAAAATGTCGAATCAGCGAGTGTCTGCAGGAAAATGTCGAATCAGATCCTGGGCAGAAGCAGCCGAGGAGGAGGAAGAGGAGAAGAAGGGGAGAAGAAGAAGAGGAAGAGGAAGAGGAAGAGGAAGAAGAAGAAGAAGAAGAAGAAGGGGAGGAGGAATGAGAAGAAGAAGAAGGGGAGGAGGAAGAAGAAGAAGAAGGGAAGGAGGAGGAGGAAGAAGAAGGGGAGGAACAGGAGGAAGAGGAAGAGGAAGAGGAAGAGGAAGGAGAAGAAGAGAGAAGAGGCGGGGGAAGGAGAAGAACGAGAAGGAGAAGAAGGAGAAGAAGGAGAAGGAGGAGGAGGAGGAGACGCAGAAGGAGGAGGAGGAGGAGGAGGAGGAGGAGGCGGCGGAGGAGGAGGAGGAGAAGAAGAAGAAGAAGACTAGGAGGTGTGTGGGCCTGCGGCCCAACTCTATGACTCTCTTCTGTGGTCTTTGAATTTACTATTTTATCTGGATCGGGCCTGGGCAGCAACTCACCAAGACCGGGTCCTATGGTTGGCATCAACTTCTTCGGCCCTGGTTTTCATCTCCACGGTCCTACGACCCCGACGCCTGCTTACTTCTTTCTCAGTTATCTGGGCTACCCAATTCAGTTGATTATCTTCATCTACGGTTGGACTATTTTTCATCTCACCTACATTTTCAGTTTCCAAGATCTACGGTGGGAGCATCTGAAGGTTCAGGATCTTCAGGAGGAGGAGGAAGAAGAGGAGGAAGAGCAGGAAGAGGAAGAAAAAGAAGAAGAAGAAGAAGAAGAAGAAGAAGAAGAAGAAGAAGAAGAAGAAGAAGAAGAAGAAGAAGATGGTCCTCCTCGCAGCCTCACCTGCAGGTAGCTGAGGCCTGGGACTGACTGTCATCGTCGTCATCATGTGCAGGTCGCCGGCGTGGAGTCCCAGCCTTGAAACAAGTTGAAGGTAGAGTCCGTGCTATGCAGAGATACATAGAGTGCTACTAGTGTATGCATACTGAGCAACAACAGGCTCGAGCACGCTAGTGGTAACCAAAAAAGTATTTCATGAACGGGTCTAAAAGTTGAACTTCGTACATATGAAGTGTTAATAAAAGGTAAAGCAAATAGTGAAACAAAGACAAGACCTATTGCAGCAACACCTCCTAATTTATTCGGTATACTACGAAGAATTGCATAAATAGGTAAAAAATACCATTCTGGCACTATGTGAGCTGGAGTTGTATGGCGCCAGGTAATCGGTGCAGTTATGTCCTCCACCCCTCTGCCTGCCTACTCCTATACTCTAACGCAGTGCAGTCGCACAGCTCCAGCAGGGTGTCACCCAAGAAGTGAGCTGCTCGAACTGTCTGCCTGTGCCCAGCCTCAGCCCAACTATAAGTAGCGCTGGGCCTGAATGGGCGTGCCTCTGGTGCTGGCCAAAAAACGACCCGTATGGGCTGGGGCTCGTACCTGCGTCCAGACCGTTTTGCTGATGCAGCAGGGCGCAAAAAACCTGCCCTCAAGACAGCCTTTCCCCTGGCGTGCCCAGCCAAAGGCGTAGCCTTGGGGACTGCAAGTCCAGAACAACGTTCAAACAGACAAAAATAGGACAGCAATAAATAAATAAATAAATAAATGCTGTTGCAAATCAGTGCCGATCGGGTTTGCGGCCCAGCCCGTGTGCAGGCTCAGCATGTAACACCCCCCCCTCCTTATGAAGTCAAGCTGGGTCGAGGGCGAAGCTGACGATCCGAAGGTGGAACCTGGACGTGAGTACGATGTGGAGCCGAAGGTACCGGCTTGCCCTGTAACTTGCGTTCATAACGTGTGAGAACATTGGGCACTGTTGCCTGAAGTTCCGCACGGGTCAACCAATGGTCGGCCTTATGGATACAATAGGCGAAATGTACCAAGTACTCTGTCGCCTGTTGCCGTGGTGTTGCTGGGAGATGATGTCGCCAACCTCTTGAAAGTCGTCCATAGAGGGTGGGTCTTGCGCTCGTCGCTCGTGGAAGGCATCGTGTTCCCCTGGAGTGAACAGAGCTAACTTAGAAAATGAAAGACCGGGTAGACGAGCAAGTGGGTGGGCACCTGAATGACAAATGAGGGTCCTTCGGGTGCATCCCCAGCAGGTGCCACAATGGGTCAGGGACCCATCCATTTCAGAAGGAGCTTGCGAGAGATAATCTTGTTCGAGGCTGAACTCTGAGGCGGACACCCATAGGAGGTCGCCGGCTTGAAACGAACAAGGAAGATGCTGGCGGTTGGCCTGCTGGCTCATACGTTGCTGCATCTTCGACATCTGGTCCCGTGCCTTGACAAGTAGCTCTTGCATCTGACTCAAGAAAAGAACGTGGTCGTCGCTCTCGGCCGCCGTGGGATTATCGTGTCCAACGGAGAAGTGACGGGCGAGCCATACTCGAACTCAAAGGGCAATATCACGATAGCCGGATGAATGGATGAGTTGTATGCCAACTCGACATCCTGCAGCCGCTCAACCCAATCCTTTTGGTCGGGATGGATGAGAGTGTGAGGGAGAACCTGTGCTGTCTGATGCGCCCTCTCCGTTTGGCCATCGGTTTGGCGGTGGCGAGCCGAACTCGACTTGAGAGATGAGCCTCATCGTTTGATGAGCGCTAGCCAAAAATCGGACATGACCCGAGTGTCACGGTCGCAAACGATTCCCTTGGGGTAACCCTTGGTTCGAATCCAACCAGCGAGAACCTCGACCATCTCCGGTGCCTTGGTGTGATAGCGGTAAGGCAAAAACATGGCAAACATGGTGAGTTGGTCAACCACCGTGAGAATCACATCCACACCGGTCTTGTGCTTGAGGAACGGCCAGGTAATATCCATGGCAATCGCTTCCCTTTGGAGCAAGGGGACCGGTAATGGTCACAACTCGCTGTACGGACAATGATTGCGGGATTTGCAACGTGGGCAAACCTCGCATGACTCGCAATAGCATGTGAAGTCGCCGAGAAGGCCGGCCCACCAAAAGCGCTTGCGAAATCGTCAATCGTACGATTGACTCCAAAATGTCCAATGGCGGGAGCGTTGTGGAACTCATCAAGAAGCCATGTACGCAAGTGTGAATCACTCGCCACGCAAAGAAGATCCTTCCCACGCGAGTGGACAAGCAATTATCCCTCTTGGATCCGATAATGCAAAGGCGCCGGATTTGGAGAGGAACAATTCGCATAGTTCTTGTGAAACTCGGGGTGATATGGTAGCCGCGGATGAAGCTGTCTCGCAAGCCGTCGTCAATCTCGAAAGTCGAGTAGACTTTGGTACAATGGTCCGAACGCCATGAAAGAGTTTCCGCAAAATGGTCCGAGCGGCGTGTCTAAAAGTGTGCAATCGGCCCACCCCTGTGCCCCAAGTCTATGAAGAAATGGTCAGCCCTGACTGTACTATTTTTATACTCGCGTACAGCACGAGTTGTTTATCCCCGTCGGAGATTCTTTATAGACGGTCCCGTATTCGTCTCTCCCCCATGGGGCTGGCGTGCCCGACACGACCTCTTCAGCGCAGCAAGCAGACGAAAAGACAAGCGGCAAACCATGCATGTACTAGTCCCAGCAGGTTGGCATGGTGACCGTGACCCCAGGGCTTCGTCCAAGGCCCTTAATAGGCAACTCCCGTCTCCCACCAGCACGCTCCCCAGCCTCACTTTGCATCACCTAGTCGGTAATTCAGTCTCAAGTGACTTGACATCACAACACACACACACACACACACACACACACACACACACACACACACACACACACACACACACATGCATGCATGCATATGCTTCTTTCTTGGAAATATCTTGTCAAATATCACATATCTTGTGGAACATGGTGAGACAGCGCTTTACCATCTAGCAGATTAAGAGAGGTCTACTGGACATCTCACCTTATTTTGAATATACTTGGCCCGCTGAGCAAACTTGAGTGTACTCAGAGATTCACTGAAGCAACTGCAATTCAAGAGAGAGAACACATTTTGCAACTTTGCAACGTCAGCCGGACCATAGATGATGTCTACACCCCCATGTCTACTGCAGGTACGCTGTGTGGAAGCAAGAGAAAAGGTCCATACAACTACAATGCATTGAGCCTCACCGCTCGACACCTTGAGCACACACACACACACATTGAGAGATCACACGAAATCCACACTGGAGTCCAGAGATGCGCAGCTTAAAAATTCCAACAAATTATCACATTAAAGTTAAACAGTTTCGGAGATCCAGTCACCAAGCCCTCAACAGCGCAGAATTCCGCAACCCAATACCAGCATCCTCGTCTAAGGTACGTGACTCTCTCCTCTCCCTGGCTCTCTCTCTCTCTCTCTCTCTCTCTCTCTCTCTCTCTCTCTCTCTCTCTCTCTCTCTCTCTCTCTCTC